CATCTTTTTTTACCCATCTTATTATGACGTCCACTGACACTGTACCATCTGATGCTGCATGCCGAAGCTGGATGGGCATCTTGTATCATCAGCATCTAAAAAAGAAATAAATAATTAAAATGGTGAAATCAGGGGGATGTCAATGAAGAGCTTTTTTAAAATTACTATTAATCCACTGAGCTTAATCTAACCCTATCACTGCATCCTCAAAACGAATCCTTCTACTGCCTCAAGCCAAGGCTCACACATTCTCATGTTTCTGTGCCTTGTTTGATGTAGACATGACAGATTAGATTGAAGTGTCTTATCTGCTGTATTAGGAACTATCAGAATGTTAATTTGTGTGTCAGGATGACCCCCTGGATGGAGTCATGCTGGGAAACTCGTGTGGTTCATAAGGCTTACATCATGAAGGCTAAAGTGAGATTACTCTGAAATGTGGGCATTAACAGAAAAGAGATGAAATAGCATTTTTTTTTTTTTGGGAATGTGAAAATCTAACTGGATTCTATTAGATTACTTGAGGGGAAAAAAACATGTTCCTTTATTTCAACCAAAATATTGTAATCTACAAATGTAGTTTTTCCTTTTTAAAACATGTGGTGAACAGACGAAATGCTTTTATCATTAAACATTTACAGCTCGTCAAATCAAATGAAATTTAGAAAACAGATCTTAATAATGGGGTTATTTTTCAATGTGTTTTAATGAGGGTTCATGCTTTTTAACGAGTCCAAACTAACAAACAGACTTCAGAAACCCTTTGGGGGGACTTGTTTGGAACTCGATAATTGGTTAAATCGCATTACAACTTACAACTTCTTTCAACCCTGACCCTGTACTTGAGACCAGCAGGAAGTCATCTTTGTCAATCTGCATCTATCGATTGGAATAAAGAAAATAAAAAAAACAATCACACAATCTTGACTGTGCTGTTTGGTCCTGAATTTTCTATCTTCTTTTACTTTGGGCAGGGGCAAACATTTGAGTTGTCCACAAAAAAAAACATGAAAATCAATCTTTTGGGCCTCCTGCGTTAAGAATTTAAAGTGAGCGCACGGCGCGCGTGCACGTGTATACCTGCGTGCGTGTGAACGGGGGGGGGCACCCGGCAGGCGAATGGGCAGGCGTAGCGGGTGCCTGTGAGGTTAGGGCCTGGGTGGAGTGTTAGTAGTAACGACACCTGACAGCGACTGGGTGGATGTGGCCTGGCAGTTCTGTACATTCATGTCACTCCCGATAAAAGTCAGCACCTGCTGAGCAGGAGAAACCACAGCGCCGGTGCCACCGGGTCCTCCGCACCGGACAGGGAGAGCAGGATTAGAGCACTTCCTTCCGCTTGTCCTTACCTGTCCCTCCGATGCTCACTGAGCAGACGAGGCGCGACAGCCGGGATGGCCATTGGTTGGGGAAGGGGTGAAGGTGCCAGCCTTGTCAGTGTTGGAGGTGGGAGCAAAAGCCACATGGCACACCTGATTTGGGCCTGGAAAATTAAACCTGGATGCTTCTTGCGTAAGTTGTGTAACAGCCAAGGGCAAAAGGAGGTCCAGGGGAACTTTCTCTGTTACCTTAAGTGTATCAGGGCGGCTCCACGTGTCCCACTCGGTACAGCAAATCCAAAACACAAACTTTTTCTTTAGTTTCCTTCATTTGTAAATAGATCGATTACTGGGGGATCTTTTACAGGCACTCTATTCCTCTCCTTGTTTAAAACATTTAGAAATATAAAAATATGTTCAATTTGTGTCATTCTCGCAAGAAACTAACCCTGACCTTTCAAAGTAGTCTTGAGGAATATTTACTGTGATAGTGACAAATGTGAAGCTCAAAAGGATAAACTTACTGGTGACACTGCTTATGTCTTTAGGGCTCCATTCCATTTCTTACCCCTGGCCCTACATCTCTATTTTGCAGAGTAAAAATGACCCTTTCCTTTTAGAGAACAAGGAGTAAGGGTCATTTCTCCATCTACATGACCCCAAAAGCCAAACTGAAGTGCTAAATGACCCCTTACTCTTTGCTCAGTAAAAGAAACGGGGCACCTCATATTTTTAGAGTGAATAGGTTGGGCCAACAGGAGGAATCTGAGCATTAAAATGGCTCAAAACTTTCCGTAAATTCAGAAAGGAGAGCCAGCAAGGGCCAAACACTCAATCCGTTTGACGAGGTCGATCTATTCATCTCTACTTCTAAATGTAATCTTATATGGACATGACGGCATCCCAGCATATGCATAGTTGAATCAGCTCAAACACAGTTTACCTGCAGGATGGCCATTTCTGAGCTTTTAGTCTGCTGCGTTTCAAAAGACTACACGGCTGCTGCCTTTTGTGTGTCCACCCCACCAGAAAAGAAGCCATGTACTGCCACCTAATGTTCACATACGGGCCCTCAGAGGGAACCCCCTTCCCGGTAATTTGTCAGGTGCAACATTTTTAAGAGTTCCAATGCACTTTTGTTTGTTTTTTGTAATTTGGCAGCAGAGAAAAGACATTTTCCCTGACCTCTGTCTGCCTGCTGACCGCACGTCAGCCAGCACATACTTCTCAGCACTTTTCCTTGAGAAAGAGCTGATACGCAACTTCTGTGAAACCCTGAACGAAACGGAAGCAATTGTACATTAGGCGGGTTATTTTCCCCACATTTTTCTTTTCTAAATGACCGAAAATGAGGGGCCGGCTCCTGAGCACTTCAGCAAAAACAAACTTAGCATGTCAGCGTAGTAATAGCTTGTGGAAAAACGTCACTTTCAGCTGTAGGGTGTGGAGAAAAAAGGTTAATGTAGCCTGTGTGTGTGTGTGTGTGTGTGTGTGTGTGTGTGTGTGTGTGTGAGAGAGAGGGGGTTGGTGAGGTGAGTGGAGGCAAACTTTGACACATGTGCTGTAAATTAGGCTCTGGTAGGCAGCGCTCCTCTGGTTGGAGTTAGCGAGCAGAGAGCGGGTGTTTCTGCATGGCTGCGGACTGCTGCACACTGGGGGCCGACTGACCCCGGCGCTAGAAGAGCACCAGAGCAAGGAGTAAGACAGTAGGCTGTGACCAAACCCCGACCAGGGCTTGCTCTTCCTCTCTCTGCTCCTCTCTCCCTTTCTCCCTTCCTCCATTGCCGCGTCCACCCCCCCCCCAGCCGCCCAGGGGAACCCTTGCACGGACTTCTAAGCAGCCGCTGCATATTCATTCCCCATGCTACCCTTCAGTGGCTCCTTTCTTATATAAGGGTTCTTTCCCCTTCCACATGTGTTTGAGCTCCACCTTCTCACCACCTCTGTCACTTTGAAAAGCTGTGCTTCATTTCACACTGGGTGGGAGTCTTTAATTTAGGCTGAAAATAAGCGACAAGCCTCATTTTGCAAGAATATGGGGGGAAGTATTCAAGACTGAAAAACAGAGGTGGGTTCTCAGAAAAGTGTGGCACTTTTTTTGTGCTGTGGAGACAAAAAAAAAACAACCAAATTAGGCTTGCCTTTTTTAAATTGTGAAATAAAGAGCATTAAAATGTTACTTTCCAGAATGAACCACAGTTTGACACAGATTTGAAGTTTATTCACACATAACATACTACAGTGGGTAATGTATTCAAGAAACATTGAACAGCGCTGTCATAAGTGACACAGCAGAGAGAGAGAGAGAGAAAAAAAAGACACTGATCCTTTTCTTTGCCATTATATAAAAATAGTGTTGCTACAAAAGTATAAATTAGGTTTACTAATTAGACAACTCAGATTTTAAATCTACACAGGTATCTGCTGCCAAAGTGCGATAAAAAGACAAAATGAACAGAATCCAACATATTTTTTTTGCATTTTAGCAGAGTATAAAAAGGAAGAAATGCCTGTAAAATATGATGAAAGCAACACAGAGTTCTTAACCTGAATTAATACGGACTAGTTAAACAGAACAGATCTCCATGTTAGCATTCTTATACCACACTTTACAAACTTGTATCATCTGAATAAGTTAAAAATCCTGAAACAAAATCAAACTTACAGCTGAATTCAGTTTTCTAGGAACAGTATCTAAGTTGAGTTTTCTATTATATCATATCAAAACCTTTTGAAATGCTACTGTAGAAAAAAGAGGTATAATGTTATTGGTGCTCCCTACTTTCATCTCTTACATGAAGGTGCCCCCTTGTGGCATAAAAACAGCAGTTCTCCTGTATTTACATAATACATCCTCTGAAAATGGATGATGTCAACCTATAAACACCAGCCAGTCAGGACAGCTACACCCACCTTGAGAGGTTAAATTTCATTTATCTTGACTCTTTCCGAGTATCTTACAAGTAACATCACCTCAGAGCCAACAGGATTAATTTACTTTTGATGAGAAACACTTGCTTATAACATTATGTATCAGTATTCTTATTAAAAGCATGCATATCTTAGATATACGTTTCATTTCAAAAACAAAAAGAATGCTATCTCTAAGAAAATTAAGTTGACATTTGGTCAACAATGGCATTGTGTCCCAGAGCATATCCTATTGAAAATACTTATTTAAAAACATTAAGAAAATCCCTTCATCAGTTCAGCAGAGGATCACTGTTAAAATCACAAACAAATGTACAGTATTTTGAGCATTCTGTTTTTTGATGAGCAACCGATTTCCGATTTTTAAACTACAACATTGCCTTTTGAGTACTGAGGTAAAACATTGGATTAGTCATGAAAACTTTAAATAGAATTTACAGTTGCTTTTTTAAACCAAAATATATATATATATTTATATATTTGAGTGTGTATGTATGTTGTTTATTTATATATATATATATGTATATATATATAAAAAGTCATATGGAATAAAAAAGATTTATGAAACACCAAATCAAAGTCTGGACGACAGTCTATTTAAAACTAAAGTCTGATGCGGCTGTGAAACTGTTTGCAATACAGAGGTCTGACCTTGAACACATTTTAGTGTTTTCTACCTTTAATGCTGCTCTCACTGTTCATCCAGATGGCCCTTCCCTTTCTTGAATGACTGCATTTACTCGGATGTGTGTGTGTGTGTGTGTGGGGGGGGGGGGGGGGGGGGGGGT